GAGAATAATATTTTTATTTAATTAAATAATTTAAAATATATATAATATAATATAATTTTTAAATTTTATTAAATAAACAAATAATTAAAACAATATATATTTATTAAAAATAAAAAAAATTAAATAATCAAACACAATCCATCATAATCTCCTCAAAATGAAGAATAAAAAATAAAAGAATGGAAGTTTCCATCACCTTTCATCACCCTCCCTTTCTATTTTAAGAAAGTAATCCAAATAAGGAAAAGAATTTTATCCCCTCAGTATCCTTCTTTTCCCCTCCAAATTCCACCATTCAAATTCAGCGTTAAGTTTTTCACCCCTAAAATCCGGTCCGTCCCATCTATTTTTACAAACTTTCTTCCATCAAACCCCCATACCCATAATACAAAGTTTGTTTGGACTCTTGTGAGATTCGAATCACCCTTTTTTGAAACTTTTGTATATTGAGAAGAAAGACACATTAGGAATCCTTTTTGTTCCAGCATGTCGAAGAAAAAAGCAAGTGGGTAGTCGCTTTACGTCTAGTGCGGGCACCGTGTTTGACCAAACCTTACCCTTTCACTCCCTATTTTCTCTTCTGTTGGAATAGGCTCAACGTTAAATTTGGACCGTACATAATGGATCTAAGCTGACACTTATTAATCTAAAGTGAGAGAGCATCGGTACAAATATACCCACATGAACAGCGTCATGTGAGTTAATGAGATGCTTATATGTACAAATGCATGTCAGCACTTGAGGTTATAAATATCTTCAATTACCTTCATATTATAAATATCCCCAACTATCTCTGATGAAGGTAATTAATCTTTACTCTTCTCTCTCTGCAATTACTCTTTGAGAGTATATCTCTCTAAAACATCGAGTATTGCTGAATTGAGCGTCGAAGTATTTTTCTCAAGAAAATATCCTTTGAAATTTCAAGTGTAGAAGTAGTTGAAAACTTCAACAGTGTTAGATCACGAAGCTGCCCAACCATCTTCCAAACAAGGAAAAACTAAAGAATTGCCGGCATTAATTGAAAAACTTAAAAAAAAAAAAAAAAGGAAAAATGGGAGACAAAAGAAGTAGAGAAAAGAAAGCAGAGATTCTTGAGATTCTTTTGATATGTCATCGTTACGAAAGTGGCAAGCTGCGTGGCCCGTACGGAGACAGACGAATGCCAAAGCTGCTTTCCATCCCATTAATTTAGCACTGAGACACAAATAGAATTCTAGACTGGCCATGTTATGGTCAATTGGTCACCAAAGATTTGTTACGGCTACACCCAAGTATTGATAAATGAATTTAATTTGGTTTTTTTTTTTTTTTTTGAACAGTCTGAAACTTTTTTCGGAGAAGGGAAAAAAAAGACTTGGAATTTAATTTCAAGTTTCGTTAGTCTTACGCACATTACACACATTCTGCAAGGAGGTGGTCAATAAGCTACTAAGTGCGGGACATGAATTTAATTTGTTTAATTTTATTTTAAAAATATTAATTTATAAATTATTAAATAATAAATGTAAATACCTACCGTTGTATCTACTATCAAATACATTTTTATTATTATTTTTGTGTGCCTTAAAATTTCTATGTGTGTAATAACCATGGCCAATTCTAAACTTCTCTATTTTTGTTTCCCCCAGTGGGGGCAAGTGGCAAAAAGCCACCTTGTCCGTGGATAAACACTAGCTAGGGCGGTGGCTCAAACCTCACCATTTACCTGTAATTTCCCCATTACCATCCCTATTTACGCACCATTTCCGAAAGTTCAAAATATATATTTTATGAATTTTAGTTTCAAATTCTAAAATTTTCTTTTTGGATTCTACTAACATAAATGTCTTTTTTTAGTACAGACTACAAATTTTTTTTATGTAGTTTAGATCTTAAAATTATTAAAATATTTTTAATTAAATTATCTTTTATATTTATTTATTA